GAGGCCCGGGCCGAAATCCGGGCCGAGCCGGGGCGCTCGGCAGCTTCGGCTCCCGAGGGAAATCGAGGCTCGCAGGTTCCCCGTTGCTTGCCGGGCGCTGGGGCACCCCACTGCCGGGCTCGCAGAGGAGCCGAGGTGGGAAGAATAACCGGGGAAAGGCAGGAGGAGAGGGGACATCCCTCCCATTTTCCACCCCGAGTCTCTTGCCCTCGCTGTAGATCACGGAGCTGAAGAAGCTGATGGATGTGCACAGCCCCTCGCGGCCCATGTGGGCGACCGTGGACAAAGCCCCCGTCCTGATCCTCGGCGGTTTCTCCAAAAACAAGGTCATCTTGCTTTCCGATTCGGGCTTCGAGGACTTCATTGCCGTGGAGGTAGGGAGGAGAGCAGGGCCCGGGGTGGCCGTCTCGCCCCAGAGCGGGGTTCAGCCGGGCTCCGCTCCCCGCGCGCACGGCGCAGGTGGACATCGACAGCTGCTGGATCGGGTCCCTCACCTGCCCCTGGACCGAGTTCTCCTCCACCATCTTCGACGCCATCGCCACCGAGAGCACCCTCTTCATCCGCCAGAACCAGCTGGTCTACTACTTCACGGGGAATTACTCCATCCTGCACATGGCCACGCCGGGATCGAGTAAGAAAACTCTTGACAGCAAAGGAAGAAAAGGGGTGGGGGGGGGGTCCCCCCACCCATGCTGCAGCCCCCAGCAACCCTCCCGCTCCCCCGCAGCCCTCTGGACCCGCGTGCTCAACCGCATCTGCGTGGATAAGCTGAACCCCGTCCCCTTTTCCCACAATGGCTCCGAGTATGTGATCGCCATAGGCGGGGGCCAGCAGAAAGGGGAGTTCTTCCTCGGCACCGTTCGAGGTAGGATTCGGGGCTGGGGCTCTTGTCGTGGGTGGGGGTCCCCATCTGCCCCGCAGGGCGACGGACCTGGGCTGGCTGTCGTACTTGCGTGTCCTTGTCTGTCGCCCCAACAGACGGAGTGGTTTATTTTTCCGATTCGATCAGGGCTGAAAAGAAGACAGTGTGCGAGTACTTGGCGTGTAAGTGCCTGGCGGGTCCTGGGGGTCCCCACCTGCCCTTTGGGAGCTCTGGGCCAGTCTCTCATGGGGGAAATTGGGCTCCTGGAGTCATCTGGGGCAGATTTGCAGCAGGGACAAACAGGAGCAGCTTCGCTGCAGTCACTGGGACAGATGCCACATGGGGTAAACGGGCCACGGGCACTGTCCTGGACATCCGCGGCCAGGGACAAGGACTCCTTCCGTCAGACCTCCCGAGCCCATCTGCTCTTCAGGGCGGTCTCAGGGCTGCAACCCTGGGCACGACCCGGGGTCCCTAGTGCCAGGCTGGCTGGAGCAGGCTGTTCCTTCCTCTCCAGTTTCAGCGTCCTGCAAGATCGAGTGGGCAGTCTACATCCCCGAGGAGAACAAAACCCTTCTGCTGGTGGAACAGGAGAAAGACAACACTACCTCTTACCACATTGTCGCGTGCGAGCACGGTGGGCCACTCGGGGTTGGGCAGCCAGGGCTGCGGGACCAGGGCCAGGACCTTTGCTCTAACTCCCTGTCCCTGTTGTGTGTTTGAGCGCAGAAAATCCGCATTTCTCCATCATGTACAACATACCCCACTTCCGGCCCAAAGGTGTGCAGCGTTGAGCTATGACCAGACCCTCTCAAGAACCCCCAACAGAGCAGAGCCTCCCACGTCCCTGCAAAGGCGCTGGCAGAGGGGTCTCCACCCAGTCCAGGGTCGTTCTGCCCAAGAGGCATCGTGGAGCCACCCGGCCCTCTCCGGCAGCGTGGGGACCTGCTCCCGGCACTGCGTGGCTGAGCTGTGGTCACGCCATGAGCGCGGCCCACCTGAGCCTGCCACCTTGCTCCCTCTCTCCGCAGCCACCGAGAAGTCGTTTGTGATGCTGATTGGCTTCAAGGAATACAGCGACATTCCCATGGTCCTGCGGGGCTTGTCCTACAATCCCTTCAGCACCATCTTCTACATCTGGGGCAATGCCATATTGCAAAGGTAGGGCCAGGGACCCAACGGCTGGCTGCAGCCCCATGTTTTGGAGCTGGGACAGTGCCCGAGATGCTACTTGGGGCAGTGACAGCTCTGGGCAGGGGGCTACGATCACAGCAGGCTGTGAGGGGACAGATGCTTCAGCCTTCATCTCGCTGTCAAGGTCCCCTATTGTCCTGCACCAGTGGGGACATAACCCCAGAATTTGGGGCGATTGGGCTGTGATAACCACCAAGCCAGGTATCATGGTGGGGCAGCAGAGCCCAACTCTCCCCTCTGCTTCCCCTGCAGCTATGACACCATCAACTACATTTTCCTCTCCAACTTCCCTGGCGAGTCAGTCATCAAATACTTCATTCAGTCGTACAGGGGGGAGATTGTGTGTGTGACTGAAGCAGAAGAGGTACGTGGTGTGGGAGCTGCCAGGGCCCCAGTCCTCTCCCCGCTGTCCCCAAGGCTGGGACGTGGAGGCCCCCAGCCTGTCCCTGCTCCCTCCTTGCTCTCCCCAGGTCTGGTTCTTCAGGGAGGGCAGCTCAACCGTCCAGCAGCTCTACCCCAGCAGAGCCTGGAGCATGTACGCCAAAATCCAGCTCCTCAAGGGCTCCGAGGACTACGGCGTCAACGAGACCTCCCTGAGCTTCTTCTACAACCAGGGGGAGCTGCAGCAAGTAGGCACCGGGAGCAGGGAAAGCAACTTGGGAGCAGGGGTGACTGAAGGTGGCCCTAAGCCCCCCAGGAGGATGCCCTGTGGCTGGACGTCCCGAGATAACCCTGGGCTCGCGCGCGGCTCGGGGCTGCGGTTCGGCTCCCAGGAGCTGGGCTCAAGCAGAGCTATTCCTCAGGTGTATGGGGGGGCCGAAGCCTCCCCGGCCCTTACCCGCTCTGCCTCGTGGCTCTCCTTTCAGCTCGTTTACATACGCGACAGGAACGAGCGGATCATCAAGAGGAAGTTTCCCCTCACCTACATCCTCTCGCACCACTGCCTCTACTCCCACCGCTATTCCCCCAGCAGCAGCCTGTGAGTGGCAGAGGGGTTCAACGGGGCCGAGCGAGGCCTCCCTGCGCTGCTGGGGGTGCTGGTTCGGGCCATGCCACTGGGCGGTAGCTCCCGTCTCTGGGAACGGGGAGCATCTTCCCCTTGGGGAAACTGAGGCAGCAGAGTAGGGGAAGCTATTGCCCTGTAGTTACCCAGGACTGGACAAGAGCGATCCCAGGCTTTCTGTGAGGCTGGGCCACTTTGATCCGCGATACCAGGGAGGCTGCGCCCCAGAGCCGCTTTCCCTCACTGACGCGGCGTGCCTCCCGCTCTCCCCAGCGGGCTCAGGTTCATCGGCTTCACCAACCTCTGTCCTTTCACCATCCTGAAGTTCAGGGACCTGCCCAAGCCGCAACGCTTCAGCCGCGTGGAGCACTACCGCGCCGAGCCGCCGGTCATCACCGACCAAACGGGCTTCCACAACAACAGGTCTCTGGCTGTGTATCAGGGCCTCGTTTTCCATCTCCTCTGGCTTCACTCCGACTACAACCGGGTGAGACCCCAGCCCGGGCCCCAGGGCTGGCAGCAGGGCCAGCGAGCAGCAGCTGGGACCAGCAGAGCGTTGCGACACCCCCCGGCACTGCCACAATCCCAGGTCTCTGGGTCCAAGCCCCTGAGAGGGGGAACGAGGTGCCCAATGCCCCCATCCCCAATCTCCAGATCCTGGGCTCCTTCCAGCCCAGAAACAGCTGGATTTCAGGCTTCATTTCACACAAATCCAGCACTTTCCAGTTCTTTG